AGCCTCAGCTGCCGGGACTCCTTGATGACCCCAATGGCCACTTCCAAGACATTGGCGTTGATGTTTTGTCCCCCACCGATCTGAAGGGCGAGAACACAATAAGGAGCACACGTAAGGCACACGGCAGCACCAGCACCCGCTCCAGGGGAGCCACTGCACTAAAGCATCTGTGTTCTGGGCACAGTGTTGTGGAGACCAGCGACTCATCACGGCAGCAGGAAGAGAAGGAATCACACGACAGTGCCAAAAAACAACTGTAAGCAGCCTGGGATAAAGCCAGTCCTGTGCCCAGGACAGGTCAGGGAACGGAGAGGAGAGATTACACCAGTTTGGGGTCACAGGGAGAAATGGAACACCCAAAGAGCAGCAGGTCTGTGTCTCAGCCTTGCTGCTTTGCACAAGCAAAGAGGGTCAGGATGTGTAAATGGAATCACTTAGAAGAAAACATCCATGGGATGGCAGCAAAGAACAGAGCCAGGCAGGCTGCTCCATGCCCAGGCTGCTCCACAGGCTGCTGGCCCAGGAGATCCCAGCTTAGCACAGGCTCCTGGTGGCTACTACAGAGTCCTAAGAGCAAGCAAAGGCGGCTGCCAAGGACAACCCAGGGTCCCACAGCTCCGGCACAGGCAGGGACAGGAGAGCAGGACCTTACCCTTCCTGCAGTCTGCTTGGAAAAGGACTCCACCAGCGCTTCCACGCCGTAGTCCATGAGCATGGAGGTGTTGTAGAGGAACTGCTGGTAGCTGTACTCTTCCCCCTGGATGACGAAGGAGTCGGGCATCAGCCCGTGCCAGTGATAGAGCTGGTTGAACTCCACTGCGATGCGATTCCGGTACTGGAACTGCACCCCGAACAGCAGCTCGGGGTCGAACTTGAGGCTCAGGTAGTACCCGCTGAGGTGCTGCACGTAGTCCTCGATGACGATCTTAATGGTCTCCCCTGGCAGGAGGTGAGAGAAGCAGCCGTCAGGTGGCAGCAGCAGGAGCTGCCAGCTCAGTACCTTGAGATGTTACCCATGTGCTCTGTCAGCACGTCCCAGCAACCAGCCACCACCTGCGACCCTTCTGACTGCAGCCTTGTTCAGTTGGTTGGGAAGTTTCAGTGCATTATTTTTTTCCACCAGCAAAGGTCAGTCTGCCAAAACCAAAATAGTTCCTAAGAAAGCTGACCTTGTGATGCTTCTTAGAGATAATGTGGAGATGTGACTTTTTTCTGGATTTTGGTAAAAAATTACTTTCCATGAGATTATAGTAAATGTATGATGAACAGTAAAATGAAATAATTTGAAATTATGCAGAATTGTTCGAAATGAATATTTTGGGTGGACCGAAGACAATTTTTGCTATATGGACCAAT